ATCGAAACATGAATTCCGACAACGGTTACAGTACCAATCACAGCAATATTTTCGATCACCAGAGCATCATTCGACATAACGAACAGGATAACATTAATAGCAATAACAAAAACAACAGTTCCTACCAGTCCCACATCAGAAATCATGGCAACCCCCGTTTTCTTCCACCTGATCGAGAGCTGCTTTCAGCAGCAAAAAATGTCTTCAACAAACCACCGGTTAATTATCAACCTACGATGCAGTTTGAAAAAAGGGAAACTATAAACCCGTACCCAGTAAGCGGTCTTCAGAATTCACATGGTATGGCTCCGGGGAATTCTTCCTCTACATCGTGTCAGCCGTGCACATGTAGACATGCGTGTTTTCGGCACCACTGACGCACTCACCTGAGGTAGAATATGACAACATAGCTGAGCCCGAGGATCATGGCATCTCACATAACTTGAGGGATTTCGGACAGGATGCAGTCACTTCACCCCCTGACCAGCACGACGTAAGTGACCATGTCGCTAGTTTATCAAGTAGCTCTTTTTTAAGTGAAACTACAGTCTATTGCCAAAATTTTAACCGTATGCGTAGTGCGTATAAAATAAATGAAATTCAAAATAAAATAAGCGGATGCACATATGATATAATAATTGGAACAGAAACTAGTTGGTCATTAATAGCGAAGAGGTCTTTGGTAGTAAATATTGTGTTTTTCGATGTGACCGCGATTTATCATTATCAGGTAAAAAATCAGGTGGTGGTGTACTTATTGCTGTGAATGCTACATTTCAAGCTGAACAAATTGTTAGTGAAAGCCAAAAAGAATTTGAAGATGTGTGGGTTAAAATTTTAATAAACGGCGAAGAACATCTTTTCGCTTCTGTCTACTTTCCTCCACACTTTTCCAAAAAACCAGCTTACGAAAAGTTTTTCACTGCTGCAGAACTGAAAATTCAAAGAGAAGATCCAAGAACCAAAATTCATATTTATGGTGATTTTAACCAGAATACTGTTAATTTTATACAGGATAGTGATAATGATTCTCTGTTGTTACCAATTGTAGGAGAAAACGATACTTTGCAATTCATCTTTGATAAAAGCAGCCACTTGGGACTTCATCAAATTAACCATGTTCGTAACCAGCTCAATTCCTATTTGGATCTTATGTTTACTAATTGTACAGAAGATTTTTGTATTGTAGAAGCAGCAGTTCCATTATGGAAGAATGAAAAATTCCATACGGCTATTGAATACTCAGTGTTCACAGACTCGCATCGGTCACGCCCAAGCGTTGTTTATGATTTTAAAAATGCAAATGTTCCCGAATTTAACAACAGACTGAATAACATAAGTTGGCAAAACCTTTTAAAAGATGAAAACAACATGGACAAGGCTGTTGACATATTTTATACTAACTTATACAATATTATTGAAGAATTCGTTCCTAAAAGACAAAAGAGAATAGTGAACAGCACCAAATATCCTGTGTGGTATACACAAGAAATCAGAAATATTAAAAACAGGAAGTAAAAAGCACACAAGGCGTATAAAAAGTTTAAAACGTCAAAAAATTTAGAAAAATATGTTGAAATTTGCGGAGCACTTGAGGCAGAAATATCGTCAGCATATGAGAATTACAATTCAAGAGTAGAAAACAATATAAAATCAGATCCCAAAACGTTCTTTAACTTCGCGAACGAAAAAATGAAGTCATGTACATTCCCATCACGCATGCAGTTTGAAGAGTGTGATAGCACTGATAGTGAGGATATTTGTAACCTATTTGCTCGTTTTTTCCAAAACACATATAAGAAATCCAGTAATGCTCTCGATTTGAACTATTTTTCTTACCTACATGAAGGGGAAAATGACGTATCAGTTAAAAATATCACTGTTAAAGAAATTTTTATGACTTTTGAAAGTCTCGATGCTGGCAAAGGACCTGGTCCTGATGAAATACCTCCATTTTTATTGAAAAAATAGCAACAAGTTTTGTTAAACCATTGTTTTGGCTTTACAATTTATCTCTCAAAACAGGTGATTTTCCAAAAATTTGGAAGAAATCTTTTTTAGTTCCAATATTTAAATCTGGCAAACGGTCAGATATTAAAAACTATAGAGGTATTGCAATTATGTCATGCATTCCTAAAATGTTTGAAGCAATTGTTAACCAGAAAATATTTAACCAGGTTAAGCATCGCATTTCAAATAATCAACATGGTTTTTTTAAAGGTCGGTCAACGTCTACTAATCTGTTGGAATTTGTAAACTTTTCTATTGAAGCAATGGATAGAGGTAATACCGTTGAAACCTTATACACTGACTTTAGTAAGGCCTTTGACAGAGTAGACATTCCCTTACTTCTTTTTAAATTAAAACGTTTAGGTATGACAAGTACACTTTTAAAATGGATTGGATCATACTTGACAGAAAGAACACAGATGGTCCGCTTTAAAGGAAAAATATCTTCGCCAGTTAATGTTACCTCGGGAGTTCCACAGGGATCTCATTTAGGTCCTTTATTATTTATTTTATTTGTGGATGACGTGAAGTTTGTGTTAAATCGTTTAAATGTGCTCATATATGCTGACGATATGAAACTGTACATGGAAATCTTTGACAATTCTGATTTGCTACATTTTAAAAATGAAATTGATGTTTTCTACAACTGGTGCGTTAAAAGTCTGCTGGATATTAATGTTAAAAAATGCAATATTATATCATATTCCAGAAAAAACACTACTCTAGATTTTACATGTACTCTAGGAAACCAGCTGGTTGTAAGGTGCGATAAAATTAGGGACTTAGGAGTAATTCTTGACTCGAAGTTGACATTTGTAGATCATGTGAATACCACAATTCACAAAGCAAATAATATGTTGGGATTCATAAAAAGATTTAGTTATCATTTTAAAGACCCATATACCATCAAAACACTTTATATAGCTTACGTGAGATCAATTCTCGAATACTGCAGTGTGGTTTGGGCTCCATACCATGAAACTTATATAAATCGTATGGAATCAGTTCAAAAACAGTTTTTGTTATTTGCTCTTAGGAAACTAGGCTGGACCTCTTTTCCCCTTCCTTCTTATGAGTCCCGTTGCATGTTGATAAACATTGAAACACTTAAGAAACGAAGAGAAATTTCCATGATTTCCTTTGTCAATAATATTATCTCACAACGCGTAAATTCAGAAAAAATATTAGCAAGATTAAATTTTTACGTACCATCACGCATGTTAAGAACTCGAAATGTATTTCAACTGTCACCTCACAGAACGAATTATGGTAAAAATGGACCAATTAATAGAATGATGAGAGTGTATAATAATTATTGTGAGCATATAGATCTAACGATGTCTAAAGATACAGTAAGGAGAACACTAACTGCTAGGATTTCATCTCGTTAAGTTTAAAACAATTTTTATTTTTTAGATATTTGTATATGCAGTCTACATTTACTGACAATTTCAAATAAAATGTATGTTTTAAAATAGCATGTAAGGCAACAGCACTATTGTAAAACGGTCTACACTGATTGACGACAAATAAATAAAATAAATAAATAGATGTGCGTTTAACTTTATACTGTCGCATTAGTGGCCCTTCGCTCATTTTCAACTTATATTCAATTTTCATACTGCCATACTCTAACGGAACTATCCACCTACCCTCTTCTTAAGACCATTCTCTAGCTAATAAATTTTCACACTAAAGCTTCATGTTAGTATTTTAAACCAACTCTAGAGATTTCAATTATTTATTAAATTAGGCTAATGAGATATCATAATGATCAAACATCATCAAACATCATCGAAATTTAGACAGCCTAATAACATTAAGTAAATTAACAAAAGAGTTCGGCTGCTGGGAGTCCGCTTAGGGAGGCAACTAGCCTTTAAAACAACTGGCACCTAGCCTTTTCATATATTGTCTGTTTGTTTTGATGGTTGCTTTAAAATATCAATTTGGTATATATGTGAAAGGATCAGTGGGACATGGATTTTCAGTTTCTTTAAATTTTGCTGCACAAATCTAGTACTATGTGTCATTTCCTTAATACCCTCCAGTAATCGACCTCTTCAATCCCTTCCTTTTCCCATGACGTTCACAAGTGGCCCGCATAGACTATCAAGTCATTACCCTTCCTTTATCCTCGGCTTTGGATTGACTTGCACTTCCATTGCCCCGCCAAACGCTGCAAAATGAAAATGAAAATGAAAAATAGCCTGGAACGAGATGGTAGGCGTGATCAGAAATGTTATGCCTCAGAGCATGGTGGCGACACCGACTGGGATTGAACCCAGGCCTGCTGGGGTTAGAGGGAATCACGATTACCACTACACCACCGGTGCCGCTTATGAGGCAGGTCAAATCACATGTGATTTCTCAGTTTTGTCCCACCCATGGGTTGGAATTAGAGTGGGTTAACTTTATAACCTCCTGTTCATCCCTGCTCATTCGATTTATATTGATGTCTCCAACAACTGGCACATTTCTTATAAATAGCTTTATTTCGGACTTGATCGGTCATCAACCCCAGTTGTTTAATGTGATGTAAGGATATCGAAGCCTTTTGGTGACCGTTTTTGCTTACTGAGCAGAAGATCGTGATTTCAATCCCAGGCCAATTTACATTACTAAGTTGATAGAACCACATCTATATAATGCTATTCAAACACAACTAAATGCTTAATAAAATCGTTTATCAAGATGAATCCTTACCTATTACGTGTGTCCATCCTATCCTGTGATGCTAGTGGGAATGCAAAGGGTTACTCTGATAGTCTCCCTAATTGTGTTGTACTCGTGCTAAGAATTACGAACTATTTATACGGAGATTTTATGCAAGTGACAAAACTGTTTGAGGATTGCGAAAATTAAACAATAGGCTTCAATTGGACAACAAAAGTTCTATGTAGACAAATAAACACTACTTTGTACATAAATTTCTACGCTAATGAAAGGGAAATGTGATATTTATGGTCAACATCATATGCCAGTGTGTCTCGAGTATCGCTTCTCTTTATTTCCGACAATGTATGTTCCTCTGCTGTCTCTGTACAAAAACTGAATAAAATAAGTGATTTTTACTTTCATTTACATATCTAGAACTGGCTGCAATTTTTTCCGATTGAACAGGCGATCAGCTAATTGTTTTTCGATTTCTTGATTAACCTAACGTTTTAAATATATAAATTTATGACTATATATAGTTGCATATGTTTGTTCTTCAAGTTAGTACTTTTCCTTCACGTCTTCCTTATTCTCTTCTGCATCGATTTAGAACACTGAGCGAGACAATTTTTTGAAAATTATCACCGCGCCTTACCTAAATAGTAATAATTCTGGTAATATCATTCATGCCTTTCATCCCATCCGTAATTGTCGAGTGGTTTAAAAAAAGTGTCTTTAATATATATTTCATAAGGCATCATATTTTTCCTTCATTCGTGTTGTAAAATACTTTTATAATTGTTTTCTCTTTCTTCACTTATTTTCTTCCTCTATATATGTCAGTTGTCATCTTCATGTGTGTGTGGTTGTGGTTTGTTTTCTTTGACGCGCATTTGAAAATGAATGTTGTTGTTTGTTAGTTACACCGAAAAACAGACCTCTTCTGGTGGTAGACAGGTTGATGCGATGAATTCCGTTGTACAAATATAAAAATCTATATAAAAACATTCAACTACTTACTTTCGAGTGACTATTTAGCGTTTCGTACCCTTTGAGTTTTATCTTTTTGGTAGTGTAATTATTTTTGGTATCAGGAATAGATTTAGTTTGTATGTAGCTTTGGTATCTAGGGTTTAAAACAAGTGGTGAAATCTTACAAGTGATGGTTAAACAATGACTGTGACAAACTTAAACACTACATGGTAATCGGTAAAAAAAAAATCTAGCACAATTCAACACTTATGTACGACTATAGGAGACAGAGCATCTTTTTGCTTTTAGTATGCATTGGGATTAGATAGGATTTCATCCACCCACAAGCACGCCTAGCACAGGACAAACACATCATGTTCCCCATTCTTTGCTTCTGCATCACAACGATCCGAATCCAACACGATATCTACACACCATTTTCTTTTTTTTTTTCTTTGACACCTCACTTGCAAACACTCACATTTCAATCACTTGTTCGAAGTTTAGGGTCCACTTTCTCGCCATCTGCAAGCCACGGTTTTGCTACTTTGAAAGTGTGTTGCTTATCTATGGAAAAAATGCATATGCAAATATCGATCACGAATTTCGACCTCGGTGTACTGCTTAAAGTTCGTCTACAAAAGCGTCGACGTGAAGATGAGCAATATTGTCACCAGGGTCGCTATCAGGCCGGAGGTGGTTCGCATTTGGTTCGGTAGAGCCGTCGCGCTGCTACCGTCGTCGGTGGCATTTAATTCTGTGGAAGAACATCAAGATGGATGATTGGATTAGCGAAAATGTGATGATAGATGAAATTGAGTAAAATAGGGGAAATGACGGCTTCGGCATGCCAGACTATTTTCGGCAACCCAAATTGAAACACTATTTTCACTGGATTTTCTTACGAAAACACTTCGCTGAATGCATGCAAACGATTCTTTATGCTTTCAGTTTCAATTTGACTATATTTTTACCACTGAGAAAAAGCAATCTAGCAAGGTTTTCTTGAAATGAAACATACGCACTACAAATTGTAGCTGATTTCGAGTTGCCGATAATAGAACAGCAGATTTACATGCAGTTCAAATGGAACGGTTGCCGAAGAAAAACTGGTTGCCGACAATACTCGCTCTCACTAGAGAAGATTGGAGCTTTGTAAAAGCGTTTCAAAACAGTTTTTGACAATTCTTTCGACTGAAATTGTTAGAGCAGCTGGCAGCAAAAGATTGTAAACAAACCAATACTGCATATTTGTGCGTTCCTTAGAGAAAAAGGCTATAGAAAGAAGGTCGCTGCTTAGGTTGCCGAGAATACGTAAATTCCCCTATTAATAGTTCAGTGTTATTTAGTTGCATTATAAGATAAATGTATGGAAATATAATACAGATTAAATAAAAATAAGTAAAATTTTGCTAGATTGTAGTTGGGAGTTCCTAAATAAGTATGTGATTCCCTCTTATAACATTAAAAATATGTAATGAATACCCTAGCAAAGCTAGTGATCAAAATAAAATCAAAATTTACTGTTATGATGTAACTTGTTTTGAATACTCCAGTTGTTCTCATTTTGGTTGACACGGTTAACACAGCAAAAATGAGAGCAAAAGTTTACACTGTTACTTTGGTTACTGAATTTGCATTCATAATATTGAACTGAATACGGGCCTGGCGTAGATGGTTAGTATGCATGCTTCTCACGCAGAAAGACTTGAGTTCTAATATCACCCGAACAAAACAAAACAAAACAAATAAACAGTTATCGATAGTTTAAAGACAGATGAACCTAAATTACATTTTCAACAAGACGTTATTAGCAGAACTTGAACTTAAGTTGTTTTCATTTAAAACACTCTTGACTGCATAATGAAAGCGCAATATGTTATCAGACTCATGTCGCGGCAATTGATATCAAAATGAGTTTTTGGTCAGGTACGATTTTCTATTCTAAGAAAATTAATTGAAAGTTCTTTTCGTTTAAAAATCTTCCCATAAATGCAACAATGAATAATTGGAACAGTTGCTATAACTGGAACTTCAATCCCATTTAAATATGTAGATCAGTGTTCACTCGGCTGTCGACAAAAGCAGACCACTCTCGATGTGTGCTACGCGATCGTCTGTTTTCTCGGCAGCAACCATTGTGTGGTCCTCCTCATTGTTCTTCATCAGCAGTTCTTTCGGTCGATGCGTCGTCGACTTTGGAAAGCAACCGTTTCGTGATGAGTGTGTGAGTGCTGACCACGTTTTGCGTCCATTGCTGCAATGGACGCGCTCTGACCCTCGTTGGCGTACAACAATTTGCCATACAATGAAACTACTGGAAGCGGCTCCAGTTCTGATGGAGGAGGCTTTTTGGATAGCGGAAGATAAAGTTTTTGTTGTGTTGTACCTTTTGACTATATTTTTAAGATGTATTGTATAGTGACCAAGAATCCTCGGCTCTGTAAAGTTAATTCGGTTAAGCCTTATCAAATAAATTAATAAACAAAAAAAAAAAATGTAGATGTTTAGAAAAAAATATATTTGATAAGGCCGGATCAAATGATTTTTTTTTACTTAACAAAATATTTTAATATCATGAGAATGAGAGTTTTATTGTTCTGCAATCATTTATGAAGAAAATTTCAAGCACTTTCAAATATTGTAAAAACTTTGATCGCTAGTCATTATCTTTATTAGCTTTTTTAGTTTTCAAATAATTTCACTTCTATACTTTTTTTCAAATAATATAATTTTTTATTATTATACCTTCTATTTCCTATATACTTTGCTATACTCATAATAACGATTATCAGATATGATTGCCGTATGATCTAATGTTAAACTATGCGCCATTAATGAAATCGGTGATCAATAAAAAGAAAATTATTAAACTATATTTTTTTTTTAACATAACTTTGGCATAGTAAAACACAAAAAATATATGCATCATCACGTCGTCTAGGTATTGTGCTATAACAAATTGTATGCAACTTGTTATGGTCACTTTAACACTCTTGGGTCATTCGTGACTTGTCCGGGGTGAGATTTGAACTCGTGACTTTGGCGTGAGAGGTATGGATGTTAACCACTACGCCGGGGTCACCCCCAATCTGCTAACTCCACCAAGTTATATGCGTATGAATATAAGCAATTTTCGATCTAAAGAAAATGTTTATCCGATTCAGGTGATAAGTGTGAGCTACTCATATTTATAGCAAAATTTTACATTCTGTATTAGATCGCTAGGTCGTTTCGAATTGCCACTAGGCGGGATCAAAGGTAGGGCGGTCACATACATTAAAACCTCAATAACTTCGTTATTGCGGGACAGTAATAATCCGACTTTGTTAACCTCATTTTAGAAAATCCTTGTTCTATGAAACTCATGCACTTTATCAGTGGATCATTTTTCTGAATTTTCAATTATGTCTTCTAGTAATTTTTATGGAACTGTTCCTTAAATTCACCAGTACATATTCTAACTCAATATGTTTTAGGTTTGTCCAGTGGGATCAATAATATAATAACACAGTGGCATCAAGTGATATAAAAAAATAATAATATGGATGTGTTGAATTTTAAAACTTTTGCAATCCTTCGGGATTTTATTTGAAATTCTGCCCCACATTATCTACGAATATGTTATTAAAATCATTCTTGAAATTATCTTCAGAATTTTCTTGGAATACTCTTCTAAGTTCATTAGGAACTCTTCTCGGAATTCGCTTGAAACTCTCAAATAAAAATTTGGCATCTTCGGCATTCATGAATATATTTCTTGATTCTATATAGGGGAATTTACGTATTCTCGTCAATCTAAGCAGCGTCTGAACTTCTATTAGCGATTTCTCAGCGTCACACACATACATGACAGGTTTGTTTGTTGACATTTATTTGCTGCTTGCTGTTCTACCAATTCCAATCGACAGAATTGATCAAAACGGGTTGAACATGTTTTTACAACGCTCCAAACTTCTCAGGTGATAGTGACTATTGTCGGCAGTCTCTTTTTCTTCGGCACCCTTTCCATTTGAACTGCGTGTTAACCAGCTGTTCTATTATCGGCAACTCGAAATCAGCCGTATTTTGTAGTATGTATATTTCATTTAAAGAAAAATATGGTATAATAGGAATTCACAGTCGTAAAAATGTAATCAGATTGAAGCTGAAAAGGTAAGGAATCGGATTAATACATTCAGCGAAGAATTTTGATGGGAAAATACAGTGAAATAAACGTTTCAATTTCGGTTGCCGAAAACAGTCAATGGGTGCCGAAGCCATAATTTACCCTATTATTATAATTTTTTTTTTAGTAATATTTTTCTGTTTATTTAATTTCTGCATCAATAGGCCTCAATAATGATGGTTGGTAAACACTAAGTAGTGTACAGATAACAGTTCAATGCAGATCACAATCTTCACCAACGTGACGGGTTCGTGATTGATGAGCTCCACGAAACGGATTACAAATATATAACTGCGAAGTGCTCCGTAGGTTTCCTGCCTCTTGGTTGCTCTTATCCCAACCTCAAAGTATCGCAACCCTTAACTTTATGCGTTAAACATTGTGAAACACTTTTAATGCGGTATTTATTTTTTATGTAGGCCTGATTTTTTTAAACCATAGGTCATATACATCAAGGGTGGCATTTCTCAAAATTATGAAATGTATGACTTTACCCAAGAAACCCTCTCCCTAGCGCACTCTATTTAAAATATAAAATCAAGTGCATTCTAGGCGGTGGAATCAAGAACTAAACAGAAACCTTGAAAAGATGGTGCTTTGTAAACCGTGCAACTTTGTCGAAGACCATAGAGCATTAGAAAATATGCCTACGGCTCTAGATATTTTGGCTACGCTAGCCACCTAACTGCCCTAATATCTTTTTTGTAATTTATGAAAATTTTATTTTTTCATCTTGTTATATTATAAACCAGTATGATTTTTTTTTTAAAGTTTTCAAAGCTTTACCCAACCAAAAGTTCTGATAAAGTGCTATTTAAGACTAAAGCAACTTCCTCAAAGATGACCTATAGCATTCTAAACAGCCTTATTTTTGAGTCGTTACAAGAACTTGAAAGTTTCGGCATTTTAAGCAGTTTCTGGCAGTACCAGTAACAGTACTGGTAAAAAAAGATTGAAAACTTTTGAAAACAGACATCACTAAAAAAATCTTCTTGAGTTAACAAGTATAATTTGAATATGGCATTTAAGAAGGTCGAGTGTTGCAAGCCGTTTTCTAATAAAAGGTGTTCGTCAAAGCTTCGTAAATTATCCGAAAATTTGATTGAAAAACATAAGTTCCTAGAGTGGAAATTTAATTCGGATACATCTCTATCAATCTGTGATACGTGTCGCTTGAATTTAAATAGAATCAAACCATGTGCTGAAACTCTGGAACTAGAAGTGCAACCGTCAGTCATGGACATCGCGGAGCCGCAGCCATCTACATCTCGACGTGGCCTCGAAGAAATACCATCAACTACGTCAATAACAATAGCATCATCTCAGGATAGTGGAGAGCAACAATTTTCAAGGACGCATAATATTGAGCTATTCAACAAGGGCATAGCTGGTATCAACGTATCGCCAATATCGACAAAAAAATTCCAGAATGTTAACTATCCCCAGAGAAAAAATATGGACATTACCAATGGCATTAAGAAACGCATCTTCGGTTTTCAAGCGGAAGAAGATGACCTGGAGCAACTAAAATTGAAAGCTGCGGAGCACAATGAGATGATCGGACAACTTAAGGAGAGATTTGCTGATCCAGGTTCATCGAGAGACGATCAAATAAGGATTCTGACGATTTTTGCGAAAAGTTGGAAAAACTGATATCCTATGATTATATTAAAACTCAGCAGTCTAGTTTCTTGAGAAATACAAAAAATACTCTTAAAAATGGAGAAGTTGTCATAATTTGTGATTTTTCCGAAAATTATTCATTTGTTCTTCAAGATGCTGCCCAAAGTAGTTACTGGAATAATCAACAAGCTACTATTCATCCTTTTTGCATTTATTATTCAGAATCAGGTATAATAATAAATTTAAGATTGATCGTAATCTCTGAAGTTTTAAACACGATACAATTGCGGTGCAAGTATTTATTTCAAAATTACTGACCTTTTTGCAAACAAAAATACAAGTAAAGCGATGTTTATGTCTGATGGAGCTGCATCCCAAAATAAAAATTGCAAAATTTTTGCAAGTCTTTGTAAATTTAAAACGAAGTACAATATTGATGTTGAATGGCACTTTGCATGGCAAGGGACCATGTGACGCGATTGGTGGCACATTAAAACGAATGGCAAAGAACGCAAGTGTGGCTGTAGAACACGAACATCCAATCACAAGTGCAGCAGAGCTATATGCATGGGCTAACCAGAAGAGTAATGATTATTTAACAAAAATGTCATTTTGTTTTGTGTCACAAAAGGAATACGAACAGGGGGCTGCAGAATGGAAAAGCATTTTTGAAAAGGCCAAAACGATCCCAGGTATAAAAAAATATCACTGTATTGTTCCGATTTCCGAAAATAAAATATCTGCGAAAAGATGCAAATAAAAACGCATGGATTTTTCATTTATTTATCTTATTTATCTTATAAGTTTAAAACCAATTTTCCTATATTCTATTGGTGGAAGGGTAAGTTGAAGGTAAGTACATTCATATCTAGCAAAACTTATCATATGTGATGGACAATCACGTATAACTTACGAAAAGGGCATATTTTCTACAAAAAATTGATTATGATGAAAGTAAATTTGAAATATCTCGAAAACGGTTACATTTAGGAAGTTTATCGATATGAACACTATCGTTTGAAATGATTTTTATAATCATATACTGACATCAAACTGATCATTTTGCCGTAAATAATGAAAGTTTCAAAAATGCCTTAAAAGTTGCTCTTAGAAAAACTTTTTTATTAAAAGTTTGTCCATCCTGGAGTTGTTTTCAAAACTTTTGCTTTCTATTCAAGTTTTATTAAAAAAATATAAAAAAAAATCAAAAATACTTTTTTTGGTTATTTGAATTTTGACGTTTATTTTTATTTTTTTTTTGTAAAAGAAGAGAAAAAAAAAATTCCGTGTATATTTTTTTTTATAAAGCCTTATTAGTTTCCTACAACTTCTTCTTAGTAATGTTTTTTCTACAACAAACTGTTTTCGAACTACATTTTTTTAAAGTATGTGTGTAAAAACACATAGGCCCTTTTCAAAAATTACCCTTGAGTCAAAAGGGTCTCCTCTCCTGCGGAAAATACTTGGTCTATCATACTGAAAATATGTGCCAAGTATCATCCAGATCGAAGATAGTCAAGTTTGGTGACTGACCGATTTGGCGTGGAATTGGTCAGACTGCATGCAGAATACACACACTGAGGCAAATAGACTTAAAAATTTTATAAGGCTAGACTTATGAACGACATATATGAATTTCATAAGCGCGTCTTATGGAAGATTTTCGTCTAACATGAGGTAACTTTTATGCGCCTTGAACAATTCGATTTTCCCAGGCGTGGTTCAAACACATCAGGACCCGTAATCTCAACGTCCGTGGTTTGGTTCAAGTCTGCTCCATTTCATTATTTTTTTCAACATTATTTTTCATAAGGCAAATTAATGAAATTCATACCGATTTCTTGTGGCTAAAATTCTAAAGTGGTTCTAATGGAATTCTTAAGTTCTTTTGCCTCAGTGATGAGTTGAATCCAGCAAATGCTGTTTTGTTGTAATATTTAGATTTAATTATAATTTACAATGTAGACATAAGAATTATGGTTTATTTGAGCCACTTATCCTCTCATATTTTCATGAAACTATTGGTTATAAATGAACTACTATTAAAAATAACGACATGTGCGGATTGTTTCAGAGGAGAGCTTCGACGTAAATTTTTAGAAACTTAAATGGCAGGAAGTTTTTTACACACTTAAAAGTTGATAAGCAGTTCCACAGAAAACTTGTTCAGAACTGTGTAGTTGACATGCTGGCAGCGTTGCCTAAGGTTCCTAAGAAGTGCTCAGGGACGGTATTTAGGAAACTTTTTAGTTTGACTATATGTTTTGTATTACTTCTGCGTGCAGTCAACGATTGACATAGTTGAAGATGCTAATTTCAAATAACAGACTAAAGTGGTAGTTGAGGAGATTAAAGGTTAGAGCTGATAGTTCCGTTAGAGTACGGCAGTGTGAAAATTGCATATAGAGAATAGAAAGCGAGCAAGGACAACTTTTATGAATGAAAGTTCACCATCCCTCTCCAACGGGGGAGTTTGGTAAAGAGAGATGATCAAACCGATTTGTACCTTGATTCATAAAACTTGTCCTTGCTCGCTTTCTACTCTCTATATGCAATTTTCACACTGCCGTACTCTAACGGAACTATCAATTCTATACATTCATCTCCTAACCTATTTTATAAATATTACCACTTTAGTCTGTTATTTGAAATAAGCATCTTCAACTATGTAAAATTTTTAGAATTTAAAGTTGCTAAGAGTACGCATCGGCACTTTTTATAGCTTGAAGTTCATTGTGTACTTTCATAAGCTTCTAAAGCTTCTTGCTTGCCCTCAGTGTTTTGATTCCCTGGGCATGACAAAAGTAAGAAAATTCATTTGTTCCAGCCCCATTTCAATTTTCAAAGTGTTTTTATGTTGCTTCATACGCGAAGTTTGCGATTTTCGGAGTTGGTTGGAAATGCTATCTAACATGAAGCTTTAGTGTGATAATTTTTATACTGCCGTACTCTAACGGAACTACCTACCTACTCTCTTCTAAGACCATTCTCTACATAGCTAATAAATTATCACACTAAAGCTTCATGTTAGATAGCATTTCCAACCAACCTATTTCAATGTTATGAAAGTAATTCATGAGATGACTAAATCAATTGAGGTCAATGAAATATTAAAAATTGACATAATGCTACATTTTCAACATCCGTGAAAGTATGTAATGGCTCTTGATCTTCTAACCGGCAAGCTTTTGATTAATGATGTTCTGTTTTTCGAGCCTCAAATTAAGCAATTAAATCAGGCACACACCACAACAAAAAATCTCATTACCATGGTTACCCTCAGCAATCGCCGTATCCGATTCGGCTGAAAAAAAAGAAGGAAAATGATGTGGAGAATGGAAACGGAAAGTCGGAATTTCATGTTTTATGTCTGTTTTTATAACGAAAATAGCAGTAGCAATTTCGATGCTTTTGTTTTGGTTATGCCGGTCCAAGTACTTAAGCCAGGAACCGCAAAGGCTGCTGAAAGCCGCAAATTTGCACAAAGGCGAGCGAACACTGCCAAACAGCCACATTAAACATTTCAACCAACATCGAGGAAAACAAAACAACGGAAGTAAAGCATAAGAAACGAATGATTTTGTTTTTGTTAACAAAAGTAAGGAACATGAAATGAAATCAAATTTTGATGATGCATTATTATTAAATTAATGGTTAATGATAGCAATAAAAAAAATTAAAAAAAAAGAAATTTTCGATGCCCCCCTTCACTTGTTTTCAGTTACCTACTTACAATGATTTAAGTAGGCATTTGCATGGAAATAATTTGAATTGTTTCGTTTCTATGATCTGCTCCTTACCCTTTTTCTGTAGGTTTTCCGGTGCCGCTTGTAGCATGCCAACAATCGTGGTGGTTGCTACTGTGCTGGTTGTTGTTCTCAGATGCGATTCTGGAAGCGGTTTAGTGTTAGTTTTAGTTTTGCGCGCTTCAAAATTGTATGGATTGTTTCATAGGGTTATGCAAAAATGGAAGAAAGTTCAAGTCGAAAAATGATGATCGTTAATGGAGAATAAGTTTACACAATAATTAGAACAGCAAACAGCGCGGCAACCAAAAAACGAAAGCACACTTAATGAAGGAACTTAGGTTTATAGTTGAGAATACCAGAGCAAAATTGATGACTAAAAATCATGCATAGATTAACATGGGTTTATTTTAAATACTTCAATCGACTAGTATCCAATATAGCGGCGCCGGTGGTGTAGTGGTAAGCGTGATTACCTCTCACCCCAGCAGGCCTGGGTTCAATCCCAGTCGGCACCGCCGGGATGTTCTGAGGCAAACATCTCCCCGGTTCATGAGTTGTGATGGGTCAATAGGTAGGGTCCAGGTGTGGGAGCTGCCTCCCTGGCGTTCGGTAGCATTGGTGCTCAGCACGAAAAACAAGATCGACGGAGAACAAATCAAGGAAAAAAAAAAACTAAGTGCTTTGAGGGCCGATTTTTTCACCTCTGCTTAAATCTAAAGTCAGATTTACCCATATAGTTAAACTTGAATTAACACATTGGAGCATCGCTTTTGATTATTATTTAAATTATTAGAGACGCAAAATTCAGCTGCGAAACAACTTTGGAAATAATTCCAATATAATTGAGAGTGTGTTTTAACGAGAGTTCGGAGATGAATTCTATGGTGATTGAATCCTCAGGTCCAATTGTAATAAGAATTCAAAGTTAGTTCTAAAATTTTGTTTAAGTGAGCTCTGGTCTCTGTGGATAGTTCCAAAAAGAATTCTGGGGTGATTTCTTAAGATACGACAAGAAATCCAATTAGCGGCGCCATAATATCTTAAGGTATAAAATCTCTGCTCACGCCTTCCTTCCGGGAAGTAAACCCGTTGGTCCCCAGTCCATGAGTTGATGGGTCGATAGGTTCGGTCCAGGTATGGGGCTGGTGCGCAGTAATCGAATGGAATCGAATTTTGAGGGTTCAATATCAAAGGAATTCTGCACGAATTTCTAAAGTATTCTGTGGTGAATTTATGTTTTGAGGAAATACCACGGAAATTCTGAACAGAATACGAATTGATTTTCCCATAAAATTTAGGGAAGTAGTCCAATATTATTATAAACAGGAATGTTTTATATTTCTGAGGTTAATTGCATGGAATTTCTAAAGAGAATTCAAGTAAATTTAAAATGAATCTATGGAACCGTCCGGGAGTTCCTGGAAAAAAATAAAAAAAAAAATCGAAAATAATCCACTTTAACTAATCATGTGTTACTACTTCAACCGTGAAGTTGGCGATTTGCATAGTTGGAGATGCTTAACGTCAAATATCAGACATAAAGTGGAGATTTTATTCGATAGATGAGGAGATTAAATTATACAGTTGATAGTTCCGTTATAGTACGGAAGTGTGAAAATTTTATATAGAAAGTATAAAGCGAGCGAAGGACAATTTTGAGGAAGGTACGAATCGGGTAGAGCAATCGGGTAGGCCAATCGGGTAGAGCAATCGGGTAGATGCTCACGTCAGATGGCTACTTGCGTGTGAAACAATCGATAGAACTGTTTCCGCACATCAGAGGTACATGAACAAATCAGCGATCATCCCTTTTGCCAGTGGTAGCGGGGGGAAACACCCTTCACCATCCCTCATTAATTAATTAGGTTAATGAGGAGTTTGGTAAAGGGGATGCTCTACCCGATTCTACGATTCTACCACCTACGAAAATATTATATTTCCAAGAATTGTGTTGGTTGTTCTGCAAAGAATTTCAAGAGGCAAGTTCAAAAGAAGGGAAATGATTCAAAAAAGTTCTTGAGGTTATTCTGAAGAAAATCTGTGGAAAGTTTTTAGCGAATTATCAAAGTTATCTACAAAGATTTATCAAAATATTAAAGATTACAAACGCAGAATCAAATTCAAGATCTTAAAAAAAAATTCTATCGTTGTAATGATCTATTTAACCCTATTAAACCCCGTAACATGGGTAGATCACCTTTTCGTGGTATGTTACGGGATGTAAGATCTACCACCAATTCCCAGTCCTGAATACTTCAAATTAGGGGAACAGGATTTTTCAGCAATCAATGGAACACATCTTAGTCCTTGTTACATTTTATGCCTTGTTGATAGTGGCAAGACTCGGGTTTATCCACCGAGGAGGATCTTGAAACAAGTCAAACATAAGTTAGTTAGTATTCATCTATGTGATTCCTTATCGTCTATTTGTTGTTCTCTAGTATGAAGGAGTTAAGACTAGGGTCATTGCTTAATTTTGTTGCTACGGAATCCGATTTTGAAAAAAAAAAGTGGCGTGACTTTGGAGGATGCTCTCACTCTTCGAAGAGCATAAAGAGCGGGACCTTTCAATTAGACTTGATTCCTTACGATGGAGGCAAGAATGACAACTGTATCAAAACCAAATACTTCATCATTTCTCAATAGTTATGGGTATTACTCCACTTAACTAAGGACACGGGTTATAAATACTACAATACATCAAATTACTGGTTGCAGTGGTATTATGTCATGTACAGAGGAGAAAAAAAAACCCTATGTAAGGCTAATCGCTTTATTGGTTTATAAATTGATTTAAATGTGTATCGCACAACCAGTAAAATAATAAAAAAAAAACTTCGTGAAAATCCGGGAATGTCTATTTGCTGGTCACCATGCATTACGTAAGCAAAAGTACATTATTCAAATCACTTCAAATGCTCTTCACAGGAGATTCCGTTGTGAGATTTGATGAAATTAGAGAAATTTATTAAACGTGATGTTAAGTTCCATGACATAAAAAGTTTATTTCAATATCTAACCGTATTTAAATTTCTAAATTACCATATAAATGATTATTTATTTATTATTTTAAAGTCACTATTTGGTCACTATTTCTGAAATTTTAATGACTACTACTATTATATCGCATCATTACTGCCAGCCCTAACACCTGACAGTGGTGGCTGGACGGTACCGCCTACCAGCTACCGCATAAAATTGTCTGCTGCGCCTACCTAGAATCATTTTCACCGAGCTGGCTGTAGTAGCCCATTTTTTATGCGGTGTTAACGATGGTTGGTTCTCCCAGCAGCTGATATAACTCACGGTTCATACGCCTCCTTCACGTTCCGCCTTCCATCTGCACTCCCCCGTAGATGGTATGCAACAACTTCTGTTAAAAAAACACGATGTTCTCTACGAGCATAGCTAATGTTTCATAGCCATAGAGGACTACAGGACTGCGTTTTGTTGATAATCAACTTCATGTTGTGGAGAACTTTATTCATGCGGAACGTCCCATAGCCTTTTCAGTAAAGACCCTGTATTACCAAGCCAGAAACGTGGGTTCGATTCCCGATCTGGTCGAGTAAATCCGAGGGGCTTCTACCAGCGTTTATTACCGGTCAGTGTCAGTCAGATTACCGAAAATTACTCTGATTACTTTTCAATCAATTAACATTACTTTATTGCTTTGAAATTATTTGTTTTACTCTTGATTACCGAAATTACTACGATTACTTTAATATTTTTAGAATTTACTTTGGAATTACTCAATTATTCAATGATTAACAATGTTTCCAACGGTGGAATTGGTTTAGAAATACGGGAACATCCAAGCTCGATTAATAAAAATGAGCTGCACAGCAAAAAACAAAACTGGAATCATGTCAAACTCATATTTCAAACTGAGTTTAAAAAAACTTTTATTGAAAAATCGGAATTTGGAAGTTTTACTGTAAATATTGTATTTCGATATAGCGAGGCTCGTCTGTTGCTTTTGTTTTGAATTAGATTTGGACATTTAAATTTTAATTTTACGCGCGCTGATGCGAATGTCAACAAAATTGGTAAACAAATCTCGATTAGAACGTTGTCGACATAAAAAAAAACAGATTATATATTTCGACAGTGAGCATGCATAAGGGCGTATACGCGATGATCGATTCTCTTCATCGTTTTTCTCTTTGCATTGCTCCAGCTAAGCGAAACAATTTTATAGAATTTGTTCAATGCAGAGTTGTAAGAGGTTGTACTGGCTATCAAAAGCAACAGCAAACGTACCGATAAACGTTAAATCTAGCGAGTTAATAACAAAAGAGAAAATCGATGAAGAGAATCGATCATCGCTTATACGCCCTTATGAATGCTCACTGTCGATTTATACTTTACATATTCATTTATAAGGCCTCGAGTCTTATTTGCGTCGGAAAACTGTAGCTCAAGGTCTATCTGAAGGTCGGTTCTTGTGGGTTTTCTGTCCAAATTTGTTTCATGATGTCATAGATAAAAAAAAAACATTCGTATGTATCCTTTATAAAGAACTGAAACCTCATTGCAGATATCGAATCGAAGTATTTTCCGAGCATTTTTCGTAAGAGCGCTAAAATGAAAAAAGTCGATTTGATTTGGTTGCATCGAGCGTTGCATAATATGGCTCCTATTTTTTTAGATTTTTTTTAACATCTAAATTTAATTCAATAATAAAGTATACCTGAAACAACTAAAAAATACATAGAATTATAAAAAAAACATGATAGTTCCAGAGTACACATATTTATGGAGATACTCGAATTATTGTTTGATTATCTTTAAACAGCCAAATTATTTTCCAAGCAGTAAAAATCACTGAAATTACCCATAAATTACGCACAATTATTTTAATTACATTGAAATTACTGCGTAATTCAAAATTCACTAATTATTTTAATAATTTGTGGTAATTTTTTACTAACCGATTACCTTACAAGCTCCCTCGAGTAAATATTTCGGAATGTGTTTGCCATAAAATATAAAAAATCTCACCCCAGCAGGCCTGGGTTCAATCCCAGTCGGCGCCGCCAGGATGATCTGAGGCATAACATCCCTGATCACGCCTTCAATCAAGGGAAGCAAAGCCGTTGGTCCCCGGTTCATAAGTTGATGGGTCTATAGGTAGGGTC